AGTGTCGGGGGTACAGAGGAAGAGGCTGTCAGGAGGGTGCCCCTTGCTCCTTCCTACCTCAGCCCGCAGAGGAGAGGAGCTCCCACTATCAGAGTTTCCCCGCCAGCCCAGAGGGCTGGGCGGGCCTGGTTCCATAAGGGCCTGGGCCAGGCGTCCCAACTTGCTTAAGGGAGAGGGCTCTTTGGGAGGGGAAGCCCCGAGGCCTGGGCTCCTGTGCCCTACCTCCCCTGCCTCTCCCCCCCGTCCTCCCACCTCCTCCCGCCAGCCTGCCACCATTGCTCACCAGGCCACCTGCAGCAGTCCCACGACACCCAAACTCCTCTTCAACACGAGCACAAGGGCTTCGAAAACCTGAACCCCAGACTGCATTGCCCACCCCTGTCCCAAATCCTCCTATGGCTTCCCAGGAGTCAAAGAATATTCAAATCCCTCACCATGCCTACATGGCCCCAGTCTCACTGCCTCCTCTCCCCTTGCCCCCCACATCCCACCCCCACCCACCCCATAGTGCCCCATCCTTCTCACTTGGTATTTGAGGCCCCGCCATCCCCACACAAGGTGAAATCGCAGCTCCAACTTCCAGAACATTCTTCTCCCCCTGCCTAGGATGAGCTGGGGCTCTAGGCTGCACCTGGACATCAGTCCCTGGATGGTATCTGCCCTGGGAAAAGGGCTGTGTGGACAGGGCTGAGGCGGTCGACAAGGGGCTGTTGGGTGAATCTGGTTTCCCATGAGGTCCACATCCCTACTTGGGGCCTCATGTCCCACAGGAGGGGGACTCAGGATGAGGGGAGACAGCCGCAGCTGCCAGCTTCAGACCCCTGACACGTGGCCCATGTGTTCAGAAATTGCCCCAGTCCTGGCACAAGTAGTCGGTGTCCTGTTTGAGCCTTAGTTTCCCCTCTGGACAAGGGGGCTCCAAGGCGGGTATGGGCCCTTTCAGTACTAGGAGAGCTCAGCTCTTCCTAGACGGACAAGGAGCGGCGGGCTCCAGGGTCCCTGGGAGGGAGGGACAGCGCGGTGAGGCCTGGACCAGCGGGGCCAGCAAGATGGGAGGTCCCCAGCGGTGCTGATGAATAATGCATGAGGGGCGGACCCACCACGGTTGCAGTTTCCCAGGGAACGTGACTCTGGTGGCGTTGGCTGCGGCAGGCAGTGGCTCCAGCCCCAGGACCCCTGATCAGGCGGTGCTGCGGCATCATTGCCTGCGGGCGCGCCAGCAAGACCCGGGCGCGGATCTGGGCAGGGAAACGAGGTCTGGGGAATTCAGGACCGGTCACACCGCTGCGGGATCCTGGCCCGGGAGCACGGGGTCCCCCGCCTCTGCCGCCAGGGCTCTCCTCTCCAGTTCCCCCTCCCACCCCTGTGCCCTTGTGAGGAAGCCCCAAGACTGGAGAGGTGGGATGTTGACAAGCAGTTTCAAATGGAGGAAGGATCCCGGGATATTTGGTGTCGAGGTTGATGGACCCAGAGGCAGCCTCTGGGTGGGTTTTAAGGCACCCCGCCTGACATGTTCTGCTGGAGTCCCCAGATCTAGTCTGTGTGCCCCCATCCAAGTTAGCCGCAAGGACACAGGCAGGCCTGTTTCCAGAGCCTTTATTCCGTCCTGGTGGGGAGGCGGCAGGGGCTGGTGGGCTGAGCACTGCAGGCCCCCTACATGTACCACAGGAAGCTGTAGGTGTTGCGGATGATTTCCTCGCTTGGGCGCAGCCCATAGAGCTCCCCCATCACGGGGGTCACCCATCGCGTGGTGTGGAACAGACTCTCCCACCTGCGGGTACAACAGGGATCGGTGGGGTGCAGCTGCCCTCTCAGGCCACCGCCTGCTGGGACCCACCCTGGCGGTCAGCGCCCACATTAAAAGGGGCTGCCTTCCTATATACAGAGAATACAAGTAATGATTCTATAGCATCTTACTACGCTGATGGACAGTGACCATAATGGAGTATGTGGGGGGCACCTGATGATGGGGGGAGCCTAGTAACCATGTTGTTCATGTAATTGTTCATTAGCGATACCAAAATTAAAAAAGGGGGGGATGCCTTC